TGCACATTGATACAAATTTCTATCTTTGAGGGTGCAAATTGAGATTTTTGATCTTTGGGAGTGCACATTGATACAAATTTCTATCTTTGAGGGTATAAATTAAAATTTTTGATCTTTAAGGGTACAAATTAAAATTCAAACAATCTTTTGAGGTACAAAATGAGATTAATCCTTTTCTTTTCTTTTCTATTCTTCGTCAGGTGCTGTGTGTGTGTGTGAGAGAGAGCGCTTCTCCTTGTTAGTACGCTAAAATCACAACCTCCAACAACGCACTTCCACTCGCTCTCGCTCTCTGCTACTCCATTTCCAGTATTAATTACACTTTACATTTCATCATTCGAACCTCCCTTTCTCTCTCTGTACCTCTTTCTCTCTCTCAGGAACTGTACTGTACACGATTCTCCATAGCTGATCTTCTTCTCGGTGCAGAACTTCGGACGATGGATGAAATGTACGGACTTCACTCTACGGCAGGGTACACGGCGGCGCAGCCGCCTTCGCCGGAGTATGAGGCTTTTGAGTCGAGCAGTGTTCCGATATTTGGATCGGAGCATATGTTGTCGGCTAATTCGGCTGTTTCAGATACTGCTTCTATGCAGAGAAGTGTCGGAGGATTAGAGGAAGAGAGTAATACCGAAGCAAAGCGAGCAAAAATCGCTTCTCATCCTCTCTATCCTAAGTTGCTTTCAGCTTACATCGATTGCCAGAAGGTACAAACCTTTTATGCAGACTTGTTGCTAGCTGAAGGACTTCTCTCTCTCTCTCTCTTCTTGACTGTCTTTTTCAGCATAGATAAGGCTATGGGGTGTATCAGTTACAGTTGGATCTGTGATGAAGCACAGTAATAGTACTGTGCATAGTAGTTATGTGCCTAAGTCATTCCTTTCTCTGGTCTCTACTAAAATTTCTTCCATCGAGTTTGCTTTTTGCTGAAAGTCCCACAGTCCCACTTGTTCGGTACAATTCCAAAAACATCGTTGTCTTGACCTTCGAATGAGCCTATTCAAATGACACTTTGGCCTACTTAGAAAGTATAATCTGCAACTATTTTGTATTACTTTGTGTAGCTCTTCGCAGGCCAATTAGGGTTTATAGTTTTATGGTAGTAGACTGTGCATAATATGGGGGCGTTTAACTGCATATTTACATGTGTATATATGTATGTGTGATCACTCGTTGTTTACGTTTTATCTCTCAGGTCGGAGCACCACCGGAGATAGCCGATCTGTTAGATGAAATCTGCAGAGGAAATGATCCTCGCAAACGAAACGCTATTTCCAGTTTCCTGGTCGACGATCCTGACCTCGACGAGTTCATGGTCTCTCTCTCTCTATGGCCGAGTTTTCTGACTTTTTTGTTCTCTAGAATTTCTTCCTCTAAATGGTTTTTTTTTTCTTTTTCATCCTCTCTTCCTCCTTTTTTTCCGGTTATTCTTCTTCATCCTCTCTCTCTCTCTCTCTCTCTCAGGAAACTTACTGTGAGGTATTAGCGAAGTACAAGTCGGATCTGGAGAGTCCTTTCGATGAAGCTACTACGTTTTTGAACAACATAGAAGCCCAGTTCAACAATCTCTGCACCGGTGCTTCCAGAAGTTACGTTTCTGGTCTCTCTCTCTCTCTCTCTCTACATCAGACATGTTTATAGTTTCTTTAATCAGTTCATTGATTTTTGTGCTTTGTAGAATTTCGTGTTTATTTCATTGCAACATGATGCGCAAGTTAGCTTTCGACTTGGCGCTTCTTAGCAGGGCAAAACACTAGTGAAGAAGAATAATTGATTTCGGCATAAAAACCTGCATTAATTCCAAGATAACATTTATTCCTACTGAAACATTCGGACTTCCAGATTTGGCAATAACAATAAAGCCTACGCCGAAAGGAAAATGCTATTTGGACCTAAAAATTTGATATAATTTGCTGACCTAATTACGTGGTTTTATTGAAACTATTGGATTAACACTAAGTTTCAATGTTTGATGGAACCCACAGTCAATCCAAAGGTCACAGTGAATTAAGTTAGCAAATTAGGTTAGTAAATTAGGTCTCAATAGCATTGTTCTCACCGAAAAAACCCTAAATGTGATCAAGAACACCTTGTTTTATAAAAAAGGACTGACTGTTCTCTTTTAGAAACAGAAGAGGGCAGTGTTGGGAATGTGTTATTTAGGAGTTAGGAGCCATGATAACCAAAAATAATTTTTCAGTATAAATGATTTTTAGCCCTAGATTTTTTATTGATTTATTTATATCCATTGATAGTAAAAACGATTAATTTTCTATGTCTCACATTTTTATTAGACGAAAAGACAAAGTATGGTACCACAAAATTATTTTTCAGTAGTGTAGATTTGGAATTAGGGTTTGAAAGTTTGTGAACACTAATGTATGTCATTCTACCCTTTTCCTGTTTTCACAAGGAACAGTAAAGTTTTTATTGATATGCTTGGAGCCAAGTGCTAACCTTGAATAAAACAATCTTCAAGAATACTTCTTTGGGTTTTGTAGACAGTACTCAAGCTCCCTTGTTTTTACTTCCTAAAAAATTTTTTTTTTACAATTACATCCGCAAAAATATGGACTCCAGACAAGCTTTATCTACAGGTCGGGTGACTTAACATTTCAGTCTGTCTGCATTTTTACATTTTGGCCCCAACATGTCTTGAGGGTTTATAAATCCTTCAAAACTTAATTAGGTTCTCTCTGATCAATTTTTTGTTCAAAAAAATGTTCTCTAACCTTTCATTGGAATCCTTTTTACCATTTCCTTGCTAACAAGGAGGTATATATAAGCCTCTTTGACCACTTGACTAATCCTTTCATTAATATACACATATTTCCCTCGTTTCTACCTTACAGGATAGGTCTAGTCATCTACATGACTGGTCTTACAGTTTCTTTTTAATTGCTTGTTTCAAACTTTCTGGGGGTTATGGGGAGTCTACCTTTCTTCTAGTAATCAATTCAATGAACAAGATCTGTAGGTCAATTAGCAAAACAATTCTAGGACTTCTCGTCATCCCTCCGCAAAATCCAACACTAAGTTTTCATGATGTTTTCCCTCCAACGCCCAAGTCCAACAACAAGCAATTGTTTTTCCTTAAGCTAATAATGATTGTAAAATCTATGATATTACAACCTTTGCAATGAGGTTCACTTCTAATGATCCTAGCCTATGATATTACACCTTAGAGAACAACAAAACACTTTGGTTTAAATTGACTTCCACACATCAAAATTAGTGGGGCAACTTGTGGTGATGCTTGGATTTGAGGATTCCAATCACATGCTATCAAACTTAGAACATACATCAAGTTTATGTTTTCATAATGCTATGTGTTGATGTATTAGTGATACTAATTCTCAAGAGAAACATCTGGATTATTTGTTTTGGACCTTGCTTGAGGGATTTATATTGTGCAATAAAATAACTTAGACATCCTTTGTATTTGTCATAGCTTCTTTTGGCTGTAAGTATTGTTGTTTTTTCCGGCCTTCCTTTTCTTTTCCCCCTTCTTTTTAACGACGCTGGTACGGCTGCAATACATTTTATTCCTTCCTTCTAAAATAGGTTTAGGATCAAGGTTAAACAATGCTACTTGTTTTGCTATCTTATCGCTATCTAATAGGTATAACTTCTGTATCATATATCTGTAGTACCAAAAATCTTCAATGGTGTGACTCTACTTCCTACATGAAGTTTTTGATGAAAAATCATATTCATCTTTAAATAAATTCGTGCAACTTCAATCTAGAAATTTGGTTTATCTATGCGCACTATAGACGAGAGTGAAAACTGCATTGGAGTTGTGACGTTTAGATCATTTTTTAGGTATGAACTTATTTATACTGGCATTTTCTTTGGGGCAAGTGCTAAACATATAGTAGAGAAAGAATGGAGATACATTTATCTATGTTAGCTTGAATTCCCTTTCAAATTAACCACTAGCTGTTGTGATCTGCTTTATTATGGTGACGGTATGGTAGTCTTTTGATAATTTCTTGTCATGGGACTTGAAAAGGATTGTTCACAGTTCCAACTAGAGTGCAGCTTTGAAGGGCAGGAAATGGGCCAAGGATAAAAATATGTACCTTGGGGGAAGCTTCTTATGAGTGGATAAACTCTGTTAGCCAGAGTAAAAAGTAAAGCGTAAAAAATGTTTGCGTGTAAAAATAAAACCTGAACTGAAAGCAAATTGCTTTTCTTCGTAATCATCCCCATCGTCGTAAAACATAGATTCCATAACAAATCTCGCTAATGAAACATGTGATATCAAGGCAGAGTGAAGTACAAGAGTTAAGCTTCCCAAATATCATGCTTGCTCGTGTTGTTTGAAGATCTTGTCTTCCTTGTGCATCCATTACCACATTTTTTATTTCCTGTTCCTTTGTTAGTTTCCTACTTTTAAGGCATTATAACTGTTTGGATCATAAAATAATGGTTGCAACCAGAGCCTTTTGTACTTTGTACATGTGGAATTTGTCACAAAATGTCTGACTTTGGTAATATTTTTATGTGGTCAAGTGTACAATGTTGCTAATATAGAATGGTCTCTGGCTATTTTAAGAATCAATATTAGATGAAGTTGCCCTCTTGTGCACTGTCCTAAGATCCACAGTTGGAGGTTAAAGCATTGGCTTTTTGAGTTTTCAATAGCATCCATATGCATTGAAATTTAAAAAATAAAAGTACGCTAGAAAGTGAAGTTCAAACCAAAAGAAAAGGATCATTTCTAAGCCATCAGACTAATCACTTGTGGAAGACCAAGCATAGTGGATATGTGAACAAAGCAAGGATACGTTTTGGTCTTATTTTGGTTGGCCTCATGTTCCTAGCAATAATGAACATGCTCCAGTTGGGTCTCCATGTTGTTTAGTGTTTGACTTGAGGTACTTGAAGTGTTCCACTAAAACAGATTTTGATATTGAAATGTCAATTGACATTTCTTTAGCCAGTTTGTTAATGTTGATTCTCTTCAAAATAGTAGTATAGTTTTTTTGGATCTACAACGTGTAACCCGTAGAGTGAATTCATTGTTTCATTTCATCTGGATTTAGTGGCTGAGAGTGGATTGGAGCCTTACGCAAAGAATTTCATAAGAAACTCTAAACTCTATCTACAAAGCAAACTTCCATTTTTTGTGGTTCGAGCGAATTTGATTTTCTTTTAGTGCACAATTTGAACTTGGCATGCTCACTTGTTTCCATAGACGAGCCTGTCTTTCTTTCTGTCCTCGTTTTGCTTGAACTAGAGTTTAGGAAGATCGATGATTCTTGTTGAATAGAGCTTTCCAAATATTTGTGATGGAACCTGTATTGGCAATGCAGTTTATTGTCATTACTTTCCTTCTAGTAGTTAGGAACATTTAACAATTGATTATGTCAAGCAAATTAAGTTAACATCACAATGGATAGTTGGATACCACTACCTTATGAAATGTACATGTTATAGTCAGGTTGATGCATTTTACACAGTTTGCTCACTAGGATTGGGGGTTTTGACTTGTGAGAGTTTTGAAATTTCAGACTTTATTAGAGTGGTATAATGATTTATCATCTGGTTTCAATTTTATTAATTTGGTACCTCATGTCCTATCAGTGTTGCTTTGTTTCAATTAAAAAACAAGGGTTTAAATTGATTGACTGAGATGGTCATGTGCATCTCACGCGATCACACGTGAGGGGTTTTTTTTCGAAAATGTATGGGTGTAAAGCGATATAAATTGTCAATGTGAAGAATCCAAATGATGCACATTGTAAATATGAGGGATCAAAATGATCACTTAAGTGCAATCATGTGAAACATTGGTGAACACCTTCGTTAGTCAATTTAAACCATTGTTTTCTATCGGACCAAAGTGATACAAAGTGCATACGTTAAAGACTATTATTATTGTGGTTTACCCTCTATTGTTTGAATGTGGCATTACCTGGTTATTGATTCCTGAGGCATTTTTAGTAGTTAACGCCTAACATTTGTTTTCCATAAGTTTTCGTTTCTACATTTTAATCTTAAACTTTCATATAAACACTGGCAGTGTCGGTGTTATTATTGTATTCGTTCTCCTTTTGCGAGCCTCCTTTTGAACACTAATTACCATGGAGCAAATTAGAGGTGTTCACCTTACCCTACGGGTAGGAAATATGCTCTTCCATCTTCCGACTCGATATTTTACAGAAGAGTTTTTTCTTGACCTACCATACCCGACAGATGTGATATTCCTACCCTATTAATCGGGTAGAAAGTCGGGTAAATATTTTTGTAACAATTAATTTTTGGATCATTTTAACAATTTAAGTAAATAATATGTACCAATTTAACAACATAATAAATTAATTAACACTAAAATCTAAAACAACTACAACAAGAATTATAATAAAACACAAGAAAGTATGAACATCAATCTACCATAATTGTTACACAAATACAATAATAATTAATTTAAGTTTAAATTTTAAATCATATGAAATACATTAAAATTATAATTGCTCTGCCTGTGGTTAGGGTTTTTTTAGTTTATATATATATATATATTTAAAAAATTATTGCGAATAGGGTATGGTAGGTATGATGAAATAGATGACTATTTCGCATTCCTATCCGAAAATTATCGGAAGACTAAAAATTGTTTCGTATTCCTACTTGATTTTTGCGGCTAGTCGTTCAGTAAGGTAGGATAGAGTCGGGTAGGGTAGGAACTGGCGGCCGGTCAGAAATTTGAACATCCCTAGAACAAATATATTCAATAGTGTTGTTATGACGATAATTGATAGATTTTTTTATTGGTATTATATCACTTTAAAATACTGTCATGTCAGCGGATTGGGTCAATTTTTTAATGTTTCAGTAGCATTACTCATAACCACGCCCACTCGTTTTACGTGACATTGTTGGAAAGAAACTGGTATTTTATATAATCTAATTTATAGTTACTATTTTTGTTTTAATTGACTGTGTACTAATTGATTGTTTAAAATAGTGAAATAGTATACAATAAAAAATACTTTTTATTACAAAAGGTGAAAATATGATTTAAAAAAATTCTTCGTTATCTATAGTTAGACACTAAATCTTACGTGACCTCATACCTCACTGTTACCTGGCGGGCCTGCGCAGTGTGGTTACGTATTTCAAACCTGGGAAGGACATGGTGCAAACTGGGTCTTAATCTCCTCTATCCTATCCTATATTAGGAGTAAATATTTTATGTAAATATTATATTAGTTGAGTATTATTATACGGTGTAACTATCTAATGATAAGTTCGACAAATTTGATCACACCTTTATTAAGTATTTTTTAGGGTTGAGTGAAGAAGGAAATAAATTCTCGTAAGGGTAGATCACATTGAACTCATCTTCGCATACTAAATAATTTCTTATATTTACAATCATTTGATAATCTCATTTGTAGGTTAAGTCGGGATTGTGATGAACAAGAACCTAACTCATACAACTTACCATCTTTTTGGCTATTTATACTATTTTTTTTGGTATAGCTTACTAATTTTTTTTAGGTGTAACTTATTATTTTAGGTCATCTTCTCAATTTTCGTTATGAAACCGACAAATAAAAATTTGGTACCAGAATATTTCCCCCAATAAGAGCATTGGGAATTGTGAATTCAGGGGCAGTGGTGGGTGCCTTGCTGACTCTCTCTCTCTCTCATGTCAAAGGCACGAACCCAAGACTCTAGCTGGCTGTGAAACGACATAACAAAATCTAAGAATGTATTTTTTGCTGTAAAAATGTAGTATTGATGTGTTATCACATCCATTGAAGCAACGATGTGGTGTGTTGTCTTTTAGTCTTTTACTCTGGCCCAGGAAGGGGCTTTGCAGTGGGGTTCAATCAACCCACTGTGACAGAACGTACTGTGAATTTTTTACCATAATTTTCAAATTTTATATCCTTTGTACCATGATTACTTTTGAAAGAATATTTTACAAACATGTTATTACATTAAAAAAACATAGATCAAGGTTACGATAAATAATGATAGATGAAAAAATAAGATAAAACCTGAGGTACACAGTAACTAAAATTCGAAATCATGATAACATTGGAATTGATTAAGCAAAAGATCATCATACGTACCTTCCATTGGGTTTTCAAGGCCTGTTTTTACTTTCTAGAAGGATGCTATTCCAAGTTTGCAGCCTACACATGGCGCTAATTAACCTTAATGTAGTTGGTAACTTCTGATATTCTTGTCTACGAGAGTAACTGATTCCTAATAAATAAGAGTAATATTATTTGAACCTAATTTATCGATCTAATTAGGTTGGTAATGGGTGATCTTTTATGTCTCTTTTTTGGGTTTTACTCTACTCATCCTTCTCTCTCTTTGAAATGTGATTCTCTTTTTTGTTTTAATTTACTAGTGATATATTGTATTTATTATTGGAATCGATTGGTGCTTAGAAAGAAACCTTACAAAAAAATGTTATTCCCACAATGATCTTAAAATTTGAACTATGTGGCTATTGGGTGATCCATATTATTTTGTTATTGTTATTGGCTTGTATTTTTTATACCAAACTAAAAATAGGAAGAAAAAAAACCCATGTTCCAATTTTTTTTACATTACACAGTTGTAGAATTACTAATATGTGATCAATTTCCGAGTTCATGTAAGTATATACTTTTTTTATGAGTTTGTCAAATGGAAGCTCTATAGGCACAAGCTATAGTGCTTTTTTTTGGGGGGGGGGGTATGTTGGTTTTTTGTGGAGTTTAGTTTGTATATGTGATCCGGATGATGACCCGACCCGAAGTAATGTTGTGTGATTTTTTAATGAAAAATTTTCTGAGACTTAATCCATGGAGCAAAAGCTTGGGCCGATAGGCCCAAGCCGTAGCGCTCATGGACAAGCCTCGTGGGGGTTCGGGGGGCAACGCCCCGAGGAAAATTTTTGGGCCCGTTATATAGCCTAGTGCGTATGACATATAAAACCCGTTGTTTTGGTAATTAGGGTTAATATGGTAGATTGTATAGCCGCTCTCTGTATTTAACTCTCTCAATAGTGAAATCCCTGCAGTTTCGTGGACGTAGTCAAATTGCCGAACTACGTAAAATCTGTGTCTTATTCTTTCTTGTTTCTTACTGCTTTGTATTCTTGATTTGTTCTTTGATTGTGTGTGTTTGTTAGTGGATTTAAACTGTTGTTAAATCCCAACAGGGTATGGGTATGGGAATGGGAGGATAGTCAATGTGAATGGGAAAGTAGAATGACAATCTAGCAGGATAGAAATAAGGATGAGTTGTGTTAGATGAGAAGAGAAATGCATTAAAATGATAAAAATAAGAAAGAGAGAATAGGGAGATCAATGGAGGAGAGGGATGGCAAGGAGGGGGGGCAAAATGGGCCGTATAAGGGGTCATCAACGATGATTGTAGGGGATGGAGAGGGTTGTAAGGTTAGATTAGAAACCTCTGATAAAATGTTCGCCCGTAACCCAATAGTTCATTTTAGGGATTGACGACTTACCCATTTAGTGACCTTAGAATTGGACATTCCGAAAATGGGTACTATCGAATTAGGTGAATTTAATAATAGACGCCTATTGACAATTCAACCTTTCAGGGCCTACCCAAAAAAAAATCTAGTACTTCTTGGTCGTGAATATCTGAACTGGTTGTTTATTATTCAAGAATTTTTGTTGTCGGCTAGAGGGGTGGTCATTAACCACAACCTCAACCATAGGGGGGGCTAGGAGGGGAAAGAGTAGGGTCACTAACTCAAGGGTAAGGGCCGGGGAAGGGGGAGGGGTTGTCAATAGGAAGGAGCAAGGAGGAATCCCTCTTCACTCTCCTCTTTCTTTGGCGTGTATATTTCTCTTTTATCTAACATCTTTAAATATGATCCATCCTACTGGATTTAAATCCACGTCAAATACTTTTTTTTCTTCATTTATTTTCTGATAGATAATTCACCATATATTAATGAAGGATCAATATAATATTGTGTGTCTCACTTGAATTTATGATAGATAATTTACCTAAAAAAATATAATAAAAATATATTAAAGGGGATTTCACTCTCATCCAACTACCACATTCAATTCTCTCTCTTTCTTCATTCTCTATGCTAATGTCACTTTTGATTTAACCATCTAATGAACTCTCTTTTCCTCGAATGCAAGAAAGTTCTCCATCTGTCCATGGGTATGAATCACTTTGGTCAAGTTAAGATGTCAATACGATCTGGGTTTGAAAAAATTGTGGTTTGGGACTAGCATTCTTAAACAACACTTACGTAACTAGTATAGGAGCTCTACGGGTCTTTGCACTTGTAGTTACATCTCCTCAACTTGCAAGTAATTTTTGTGAGTCTCTTTACTAATCGCCATTCGGTTTTGAATTGAATTTCTTAATATTTTTGTGCTTAGTTAATCATATGCTGTCATTGTCGTCATACTAATACTATGCAGTAGAGTGGCTATTTATCATTGTGATTTTTCATAATGCAAGTAAGAATATGGTTACTTTGGCCATGATACGAGGAAAATGATCTAGTAGGATGTTGCGTTTATCAATTAATTAGTGGAATCCCCCTATATTCTTATGTAACGTTTAGGGGTTGCTTGTTGCATGACTAAATCAGGCAGCTACATTTTTTGGACTGCTCGTAAGCTTAGGCAATTGCTTATACATTCATGGATGAGGACATGTTGTTTTGTCTTATATGTGGTATTATATTTTACAATTCCAAGATTTACTCTATACATCTTTAGGCACTTCTTGTGAAACAAAGTTCACTTGGGAAAAGTAAAAATGTACCACTCAAGTGTACAAGACTCCTGGCTGTAGTGTTGTTTAAGAGACCCTCATCAATAATTCCTAGACTTAAACCAATGATGTATCACTTGGACGAGGGAGTACTTACCATCATTCCGACTATAAACTAGAATCTAGTGCATTGGATATCACTCTCACTTGGAAAAAGTCATTTCATAGGTTTTTTAGCTAGCCATGTTGAATGCTTGCTTATGTACAAATGACCTTCAACATCTTGTACATCTTTTTGGGTGAATATGGCATGTTTGGGAATGTGCTTAGTAAATTCTATTCAGAAATAAACTTGATTTAAGAGTTTTATTGTATTAATTTGGTGTGTGTTAATGCTATACAAGAATGTGTGTGTTAGTGGGGTATCAATATTTAAGTAATAGGTTACAAAAGTAATAGTTGTATTCACTGAAGTCTTAATATTTTAGTAGTTACAAGAATTAGTAGAGGTAGTAACATATTAATGCAAAGTTATGAGCATGTGTGATATCTATATGGACAAGACATATATATAGAGTTAAGATTCAAGTAGTGGAGAAGAATGTGTAATTCCAAGAGGTAGTTCAAGTGGTAATATGAACAAAGTTGTAAATGCAGACGTCTCTGGCAACTCTTTGGGGTTATACCATGAAAGATTTATACCTTATGAATGCTCTAGTCCCGGCCTAGATGGTTTGTCTTTGTCTAGACCGAGAAGAAAATTAGTTGAGGTTTGCGTAAATTGGTCCGAACATCTTTACCAATTAAACCAAAAAAGAGAAGAATATGAGAAGAGTCAAAGTTGAGTGTGAGTTGTAATCAACTTGAATGAATTTTTTTCCCTCATCAACTTCCTTTCATTTTCTTTTCAGTCCTCTCGACTCCAAAAAAATAGTATCTAAGCATTTTTTAACTAAAATAATATTGAAGTAATTCCAACAAATTCGGCAACTTGTGTGACTTATTACCCATGATGGTGCATGCATGACTTTATTGGTGTTTGGCAGCATCTCTTCGTTTATTTCTGCTATGTTAAGCTGATTTTTGCCATCCTACTTGACATTGTGTATCAGATGATGCTGCTGGGTCACCTGAGGAAGATCTTAGTCCGGTTGAGTTAGAGGTGCAAGAATGCAGTCGGACCAGCGAAGATCGTGAAATTAAGGATAAACTCATGCGTAAATATAGTGGTTACATTAGCTCCCTGAAGCATGAATTTTCGAAAAAGAAGAAGAAAGGAAAGCTGCCCAGAGAAGCAAGGCAAATGCTGCTTGATTGGTGGACCATTCACTACAAATGGCCATACCCAACTGTAAGTATATTCCAAAGCATTCTCGGTTAATTTTGAAAACTTCCTTCTCATCTTATTTAAGAATCAACATGTAACACCCTGCTCCTACTATCAAGATATTGTCCACCTTGTCTATAGAATTACGTTTTTGAAACATGCCTAGATGGTTAAGCTAATGTCATCAAGTAAATATAGTACATTAACTGTTCTCTCTCATGGCAATGTGGGAGTAAGTACGCGAACTGGACATCGTTGTTCGTATGTGTATATTGTGCCTTGCTTTAGGAGTGTCAGTATGTTGGTCTCGTGGCAACCACATTGTCATGATTACATGACAGTGATGACGTGGTGTTATTATATTCAATATTTTTTTCAACTTTTACATACAATGCATGCTTTTTAGGGTATGACATACATAAACGTGTTCTAAAACATACTGTATACTGTATTTTATATCCGTGGCGCAGGAGGCAGACAAGGTTGAGCTGGCCGAATCAACGGGTTTGGATCAAAAACAAATAAACAACTGGTTCATAAATCAGCGGAAGCGCCATTGGAAACCGTCGGAGAACATGCAATTCACTGTTATGGACAGTATTTATGGACCATTTTTCTGAATGATTGTAGTTTCTCTCATGTTTTTTCTCCCATGTTTAACTAATTAGCCTTTTGTTCTATAGTGAAATCTCTTCCTGTCTCACTTCTTGTTTGTGTTTACCCACTGCAAGGAATAGATCACAACAAACAATAGGTGTTATAGGAGATTATCTGATAATTGGAATGTACAATATGATCTATACTGCTTACCCCTCAACGAGGATGAACGTTAACATTGTTTGAAGTTGGTTAAATGTTTTTCTTTTCTTTTTTTGGTTTAATGGTTATAGAGTGTTTGGGCTAATTTATGCGTATTTTGATTAATTGTCTTTTCAATTTGGTCAAATGTATGTCATCCATGTCGGGACTAGGTATTCATAAGAGATGATAAATCTCTCTCTTAACTTAACTTTAAGAATTTTTAAGATTTTAAGTCAGTTAGATGTCTGTTCTTATTTTTTCATGGTGTCATACATCTCTGATTAATTTTGAATTAAATGATGTATAATCATTGATTAAAAAACAATATGGTAATAAAAAATAATAAAATATAAACATTTTTCATGTGTCACGTTTTATTGGAAGAAATAGAGGTATGATAACAAAAAGTGGTATTTCAGTAGGAAAATAGTATACTTTTTAGGGTGAAAATTTACATTTTGAAAGATTTAAGAATATTTACTTTATACCATAAAATATTATATTTTTAAAGTTATATATGTATTAAAAATATTATAATATGATCTTTCTATTAATTTTTGTTACTCATTTTATCAATGTCAATAATGTGATTTTTCACAAAATAAACAATGAAGATAATAAAAAGGTCATATTGTAACACTGTTTAATAGTATTCCTTATCTTATGAAAATTTTGTCTTCTTAAAGTCAAGGGTTCAAATCCTCTAAGCGACAAAAAATATGGTTAGTTGATAAAATAGATTTCAGTTGCATAGACGAGCTGTATACAAGTCTTTGGTATGGGTTTAATTTCTCACCGAAACGCAAGTCTTGATTTAATTGATGAATGGGTTGAGGGACGGATTCATACATCCAAAGTTTACTTATGGTTCTACACAGACTCATGAGCTTGAGCGACATAATTATACCTTTATCTGTTGGGGACAAATCAAAAATTTCTTTTGTAACAAAAAAAATAAAAATAAAGATGTAACATAAAAAATCTTAAAATCTTTTGAGACGTAAAATGTATTTCCCTTCCTAACTCTACAGATAAATCTTGTATATAGAAGGTTGGAGTTATAGTGCTTGTGACAGTGTGAGATAATGTAAGAGCAACCTCTCATTATCACCCGGAATCTACACTCTTTTGAAGAGATTCAAGTACCTTTAATTTTTTTTTGGTTAAATTTGGTTTTTGTAAAGGAGATGAGATGGAGGTTTTAGACTGGTCATTGATGAAAGATGTTAAAGATTTGAATATCCCGTGATAGAAGATTTAAGCGTTTCTTTTTATTAATTTCACCTTTTAAAGAGTCATTAATGATAGATGACTTATTGCATATTTGTCACCTGAGAAAATATTCAGTACTTGTCAGGTACCAGACTGTCATTAATAACTGGTACTCATCACCAATCAATAGCTGTCACCTCAAGGTAGGTAATGGAGAGAGAAAAATTGAAGGAGAGCCAACATTGAGGTGACAGCTCTTGATTGATGATGAGTATCGATTATCTATAACAACCTGGTACCAATCAATAACAGAATATGAGGTGACAGCTGTTGATTGGTGATGAGTACTAGTTGTCACAAGTACCGAATATTTTCTCCCGTCACCCTATAAATAGTCCTGCTTTGTTTGTATGAAACACACGTACAAACTACAAAAATTAATAAAGTGGAAGCTTTTTTGGGCATTGTAGATGCAAGAATAGAGCAAACTACAAAAATTATTGTGTCTTTATTATGTTTTCACTTCAAATCTCCGATCTCTTTCCCATCCAAAATTTAACGGAAGGGCTCTCCCTTCTTAACCCATATCAAAGAAAAGAAATCAATACCGTATTGAAATTTATAATTTTTTAGGTCAAGTTATATTTTTTTGATGTAAAAGTTACAACCGAAAAAGTGATGAAGGTTGTAAGGTAAAATTACTAATTTTTGAGGTTAAGTTACAATTAATCAAGGGTATTCATAATTGATGATTAATCATAATATTTATCAATGGACTTTTGGTCCAATAGTACTCATTATCTTGTAAAAACTTTGTTTTGTTGAAGTAAATGGTTCAACCCCCCCTCCTCCTCCTCCCCCCTCCAAAAAAAAGTATTTAAAAAAAAAATTAATCATAATATTTCATGATTGATTATTAAATTACCTCAAAACAGTTGTAACTTTACCCTAAAGAAATATTACTTGACCTAAAAAACTAGTAACTTTCGGTGTGTTACCGAATATTTTTTTTTTAAGTTCCTCAGAATTTCCCCAAATAAAATATGCCGGGTTCGGCTGCATCATAAATCATATTTTATTGTTGTGTTTGGCCCAATTTACAAGGACCAAAAATCGCAATAGTTATTTGGGATGGGCCTGGTTTGTAAACGTTTCAGCTGATTTAATGATGGGCTTTAGCTACATTTTCGGCCCTATGTGCTAAACTTTTGTAAATTAAGGATAGGCCGAACAGTAAAAGGTAGGCCCAAAAACTGGGTGCATTACTGTAATCCTCGGTTTATTTTCCCTTATTCTTTTGGGCCCTCACCCACTTCTCCGCGGGCTAGTTGATGCGTAATCCACAGTCATAGAAAGTTGTCTCTCTTCTCCTGGTTATAAATATGATTTTTTTTTTCTTTTTGCTGTTAGTTAAAAGATTGCTTTAATTAAAAAAAAAAAAACAGGGATCAACCGCGCTTTTACCCCAAAATATTCAATTCTCACTTTGATGCTTGAACTTTTTTTTTATCAATTCAAAAAAATGATACGTATGATTTTCTTATGATGACACACGACATTTTATGACTTATATCAATTTTGAAAAAATGACTCGTGTTTTTAATTGAGTTTTTAATAAAAAAACATTGATTGGATCGAGTCAAGTTATTTTAAAAGTTGGATATCAAAGAAATTCACCCAAAACATAATGAGAATTGAAGTAATTTTGAGATTAAAAGNCAAGTTATTTTAAAAGTTGGATATCAAAGAAATTCACCCAAAACATTATGAGAATTGAAGTAATTTTGAGATTAAAAGTGTAACCCAAAAATACATAACTTAAGTCTTGCTTTGTATACTCTTCATGTTATTTCATTGTGACTCATACACCATGTATTTGATACATGAAAACAACAAGAGAACGAGATGAAACTTGAATACATCTAAACCTCTGTAAATTTTGCAATAGCAAGAGGCTCGTGTAATGCCTTTGTATGCATCACAATGCCGAGTCTTGGTTTGTGTTTACTTTGCAAAACGAAGAGTACACAAACAAATCAAGAATCTATAATAATAAAACAGAGCCTCTTGCTTGAGTTACTTAAGCTCTTAAGTTAGAAAAGCACTATAATAGTTTAGATCCAACAGTTTAATAATTTAAATTTTTTATCTTTTTAACCACTGAAATTTATTTAAATTTTAATTTTTAACCATTTAACCACACTAAATTTCAATTTTTTAACCATAGTCATTTGATCCATACATTAAAAAAAAAACGTGCTTTGCACGGGACACAACTAGTTATACAAAATGGAAAAGCCAAAAACTCATTTTGAGCAGGAAAATGCAAAAATCTGTTTGTCTTGTGAAGGTACCAGTGCCATGGTGTTCATGTTCCAGTCATCACAATTCCTTACCTCATCTTCAAAATCCCATTTCTCCTCTCCTCTATTATTCCCAAGATCTTCATTGTCCGAGCTTGAAATTGAGATCTTCCTCCAAGTACACCAGATTCTCAGCATGATATAAATCAAAACCAAGCATATCATTGTAGATGTAAACACAATGGCCACTATAATCCATGCAACTGCAGTATTTGATAGCCACTTTCTCTCCTGCCCCTTCGATTCCGAACATGGTATCAAAGGTGGGCCACATAGCTTTTCGTTTCCCAAGAAAGAGCTTAGTGGGAATCCTGAAAAAGTTGGAGGAAGTTGGCCATGGAGATGATTGTTTGACAGGTTTAGCCTGTGGAGACTGGAAAGTTTTCCAAGTGACTGTGGAATTTCCCCTGTGAGTTGATTGAATGAGAGGTTCAATCTCTCCAACTTCACCACATTGCCAAGAGACCATGGAATTTCACCAGAAAGAAGATTTTCACTGAGGTCCAAGATCACTTGCAACTCAGAAAGTGTACCTAACCCGGGGGGTATCGAGCCAGTCAGTAAGTTCTGGGAAAGCCTCAGCTCATAGAGCTTCTTACACTGCTGAAATGTTAAAGGAATTGACCCAGATAAGTTATTTCTTTGAAGGTTTAGAACATTCAAAGAATTTAGATTTCCAAGCTCTGGGGGGATGTCACCTGATAGGTAGTTACTATCCAGAGAGAGCTTAAGTAATCTTGAACAGTTCCCAAGTTCTGTTGGTACTGTTCCATTGAAAATATTGTACGAAAGATCAAGCTCACCGAGTTCTCGTAAGCTCCCTAGCCATGGAGGAACTGTGCCTGAAAATCGGTTATTTTTGAGAAGGAGGTGGCCGAGTTTTCTACAGTTTGAGAGCTCAGGTGCCAGCTCTCCTGTGAAATTGTTGAATGACAAATCAAGAAAGTTGAGTTCTGTTAATTTGCCTAATTCAGGAGGAATGGGACCATTGAGAAAATTGTAAGCAAGGCGGAGACGGGTCAGGTTTCTTGACATGGCTAGTTCAGAAGGAATGGGACCGGAGAAACTGTTGTTTGTCAAGTCTAATCTGGAGAGAGAATTTGAACCAGAGAGTGGAAAGATGCTTCCACTAAATCTGTTGTGAGAAAAATTAATGATGCTAAGGTTTTTCAGGAGGGAGATTGATTCAGGAAGAGGACCTTCAAATGAGTTGTTATAAAGAGTGATCAAGAACAGCTCTGAGA